CCCCTCGATCCCAGCCCAGAGCACCCTCCTATACCCCAAACTCCGCATCTCCAGCCCCACCCCAGAGTGCGCACCCTCAGCCGGAGCCCGCACCCCACTCCCCGCCCCAGCCTGGAGCCCCCTCCCGCACCCTGAACTCCTCATTTCTGGTCCCACCCCAGAACTCACCCCCCCAACCAGAGCCCTCACCCCCCTCCTGCCCAATTTTGTGAGTATTCACAGCCCACCATACAATTTCTATTCCCAGATGTTGCCCTCGGGCCAAAAAGTTTGCCCACCCCTGCTCTAGATCTCTAACACACAATTAGTGCTACAACCAAAACCCCAGTAGCATTAAATTAATTATTCTAATAGGAACTCATCCATCCAGCTACAGAAAACACCTTCTCAACCCTCTTTAAAACCCCTATCAAACAGAGGCTCTTTGCAGCATGCCCAGAAGGTCCCTAAATGTGGGGTATTTTGGACTGGGGGGAAAGGCAAGGTCCCAGAGCCCTCCAGAGGCCAACCATCCCTTCTCTTTTATAACAAAGGGGGGATTAGCTCAGTCTCCCATGCTGACTGCAGTTGGGACAGTCTGGCCCAGTGACAGACACAATCCCTCAGTAGTCCGGTCCCAGGCCATTTAGGGCTTTATAGATCAGAACCAGCCTCTTAAACTCCACCCAGAGACCAATGGGCAGCCAGTGCAGATCCTGCAGCCATCTGCTCCCAGCAGGATGCCATGCTTAGTAAGTGACCTAGCGCTGTCTACACTGGGGCATAGGTCTGTTTAACTAAGTTTCTCGGGGGGGGGGGAGGTGTGACTTTTTCACACCCTGAGCAACGTAGCTGGGTCAACCTAACTTTCTAGTGTCAACCAAACTTTAGTGAGTTAAATAAACAGAGGAGCTACAGAAAATATCTATGGGGCATGAAGAGGCTCTGTGTGACCCAACTTCTCTCTAGTAAAATACGACAAATCTACAGTGCAGTGGGGTCTCTCAGCTGTACATGGGAGGAGAGTAGCTGTTTTTGGGTGGTCATTAGAAGAACTGTTTGGGATTTTTTCAGTGAAATAGTTTTTCCATCAGAAAATGCAGATTAGTCACAAACTTTTTGTGGGAATATCTCGGTGTTGATGGAAGTTCTGTTGGGAAGATACCGTCTCTCCGAGCCAGGCTGGACTTTCTGGACAAAACTACAGAGAGAGCAAGACTAGAATAGCCAGTAGCCCCGTGGTTGGAGCATTCACCTGGCCTGTGTGAGGCCCAGCTTCGTCTCCTTCCAAATCAAGCAGAGCAGTGACTTTAACCTGTGCCCCCCACATCTCAGGTGGGTGCCCTAACCAGTGGGCTATTGGCTAGTCTAGCTTCTCTCTCTCTAAGAAGGTGTTTGTTTCATCACACTGAAGAAGGGGGGAAATATTGAGTTTTCACAGGATAGAAAACAGTTCCCCACAGCTGTTAGTAGTACTGATGCCTCAGTAGACAAAGCTCAGGTCACTGTAGTACAATGTTAATAAGCACAGACTGCAGGAAACCAGCTGTTACTTACACTAGTTTCTGTAGTTTGCAATCTGGATGTTTCAGTCCCTCACACAGCAGCTGCACTCCTGAATCCCCCAGTTTGTTATTCGCCAGTTCCAGCACTGTCAGGCTCTGGCTGGTGCTGAGAATAGTGGAGAGATCCCCACAGCAAGCAGCTGTGAGGCTGCAACTCCCCAACCTACAAGAGACAAATACACAGAGAGGGAAGTGATCACTTGTTTCCTCCCTGTTGGCTGTGGTTCCTCACTGTTGTCAGTGTCTGTCTGGAGAGGGTTTCATTTCCATTCTGGAGGGAGGGAAGGATGGCTCTTGCCACATGTGCGACTAGCCTTACTTAGGGGCTAGGGACATCCCAGGTCCTCAGTGAGTAAGGGGTTAATTCTGACTTCCTTCCATCTGTCCTTGCATAGGTGCTCAGGGAAAGGGCTATCAAAACAGCTGCTGGGGAGCCAGTGGGCGCAGAATGGCTGTGGGTTGAGATGGCTGCAAATCCAGGCTGAGCGAGCCTCAGGCTGGGGTGGTTTATGATTTGATGTGTTTAAGTTGTTTTGCTTTGCCTACTGAGATTTACTTGTGCTGAAATACCCTTCCCGGTTACCAGAGTCTTGCTGCCGTACAGTGCTAGGACCATGGTACCACCCTGTACACCTGCTGCTTATGCTGCCTCTTCCCGACTCTCAATAAGACATTTGCTGTCGCAGCTGAGTCTTCAGAGCTTTGCTGGCCCTGCAAGTTTGGCCTGAAACTACCTCTGGGAGGATATATCACGTGGGGTCCCGCAGGGGTCTGTCCTGGGTCCGGTACTGTTCAATATTTTCATTAACAGCTTGGATGATGGAGTGGCAAGTACACTTATAACATTTGCAGATGGCACCAAGCTGGGAGGGGTTGTAAGCAATTTAGAAGACAGGATTAGAATTCAAAATGATCCTGATTAATTGGAAAATTGGTCTGAAATTGATCATATTAAATAGAGACATGCAACGTACTACACATAGGAAGGAAAAATATCAAATGCACAACTGCAAAATGGGGAATAACTGGCTAGGCGGCAGTACTGCAGAAAACGACCAGGGGATTATAGTGGATCACAAAGTGAATATGAGTAAACAGTGTGATATATTTTTGGAAAAAGGCTAATATCACTGTAGGGTGTATTAGCAGGAAAGTCGTAAGTAAGGTATGGGAGGTGATTGTCCCACTCTACTCATCATTGGCGAGGCCTCAGCTGGAGAACTGTGTCCAGTTCGGGGCAACCCAGTTCAAGAAAGATGTTGACAAATTAGAGAGTCCAGATGAGAGCAACAAAAGTGAAAAGAGGTTTAGAAAACAAGCTCCATGAGGAAAGGTTGAAAAAATTGGGCATGTTTAGTCTACAGAAGAGAAGGCTGAGGGGCAACATAACAGTCTTCAAATACGTGAAAGGTTGTTATAAAGACAATGGTGATCCATTGCTCTCCATGTCCACCAAGGGTAGGACAAGAAGTAATCAGCTGAATCAGCAGCAAGGGAGATTTAGGTTGGATATTAGGAAACACTTTCAAACTATAAGGATATTAAAGCCCTGGAACAAGTTACCTAGGGAGTCTGTGGCATCCCTGTCATTGGAGGTTTTTAAGAACAGGTGAGACAAACACCTGTCGGGGATGGGCTACGTTTACTTAATTCTGCCTCTGCACTGGGGGATGGACTTGATGATCTCTCGGGTCCCTTCCAGCCGTACATTTCTATGGAGTGGAAGGTGCAGGGCCTGGGGCTGGTGGAAGCAAGCATTACAGTTCTGTAAACCCAGCAGCCAGAGCTACCATGCTAGCAGGCACAGACTGGAGGAGACCAGCTGGTACTTACAGTATTTTCTGCAGTTTGCAGTTGAGATGTCTCAGTCCGTCACACAGCAGCTGCACTCCTGAATCTCCCAGCTTCGTCCCCCAAAGGTTCAGCTCTGCCAGGGCCTGGCTGGTGCTGAGAGCGGAGGAGAGAAACCAGCAACATACAGCTGAGAGTCTGCACCCCTCCAGCCTGCATGACATGAAGAGAGAATGGAAAATGACTCATTTCTGACCCATGCTCTGTGTTCCCCTCACAGATGTCCATGTAAGTCTAGAAAGATTTGTTATTCCGGGAGTGCAGGGAGAGACGACAGCGCTGTGGAAAGAGGCCAGGGGGAATAAAAACACGAAAGGCCGTTAGTGTGGATTTCTTCCATGCACGCCTGTCAGGCAGGGTTTAGCTCTCATTTATGTTGGTGTAACTCTGGAGCAAATCCCTTGCAATCAATAAAGGCTGACTTGCAAATACAGAGCAGCTGAGAGCACAGTCTGGCCCGTTATGTCGGTTACCCAGCACTCCACAAGTGACTGTTCAGTTGAAGTGAAGGGAGGGGGCAGGTTGTGGGGGCACTTTTAGTGGGTTGGGAGGGGGAAGGTTATGGCTGGAAAATAGTTCAAACATTTTCATTGTAGCGCTCTGGATCCCTTCTGGTTTAAGCAGATGCAGCCAGAATAAGCTCTCCAGCCCCAAATGTTCCCCAGGGCCGTTTTGGGGCAGATTTTCAAGAGACAAAAGCACCAGCAAAGTGAATGTCAAAATCAGCCTTCTTTTACTGCAGCTGCTGTCTATCATTGGAGGTTTGCCACCAACCCCTAATTCAGGGACCCCCATTCTCTCCCTAGAACATCAGAGCCATGGCTGGAGGGATGAGCTGCTTCCGTCCCCATCTCTCCCCACCAACCTCCAAGCAGGGCCTCAAAGCTCTGCCTGTCAGTATGTAGGTGGACAGGACTCGTCTCAGGGCTCTTTGTTTTTTCTCCACCATTAGTAACAATTGGCCTCTCCTCCCCCACAGCCCTGCAGAGAGTGACGGTGGCACCTCTCTCTGGTGGCAACTGCCCCGTCTCTCCCTCACAGCTCAGAGGAGGGTGGGTAACGAGAAACTCACTAATAGTGATATGAGGGGGAGGAGAGAGGGGGGAAGGGAAGATTCACAGATGAAGTGTGTCTGCTTCACTGCTGTGCTGCTCTGACAGATCTACTGGAATAGTCCATGGAATAGTCTCCACCTGGAAGTGGTGTTAGCTCCATGGTTTGGGCCATCATCACAGACCAGACAACTCATGGGGAAATACACTGTAGGGAGCAGGGTACGAGGTGAAATAATGGCCTTGTAAACCTGGTGCAGTGCCCACCGCCCACCAGCTTTGGATCTAATGTGCTGCAGAGAAGGGGTCTCTGGAGACTGTGTTAGTGACAGATCACTCCTACATCACCACCCACCATACTCTGATTGACAGCTGCCTCAAAAGGAGGCAGCTTGTGCCATTCATTTGGCTGGGGTATCTGCACTCAGCTGCTTTGACGCCATGGAAGGCTTTTAAAGTTTTAAAAGTTAATATATAAAGGTGTCAAAGTCATTAAAGTTATCTTTAAAATGGGATGTTAGCGGAAGGGGAAGAGGGTTTTTTTTTTTTTTTTTTTTTTTTAAAAGCCCAATATTAAAGAATTGGTTTAAAAAAATTCAAATATTTATTTTCCCAAGACTGGGACTGTATTGCCAGCTGTCTGCTGTGGGGCCACCTTTGCTTAATATTTCCATTTTCCAAACAGGCCAGGCTGGGTGCGTGTTGTGAGCCATTGACAATGGTGCTGGAGAGACCTTTAAATTTATGGAGATATTCTATCTCCTAGAACTGAAAGGGACCTTAAAAGGTCATCAAGTCCAGCCCCCTGCCTTCACTAGCAGGACCAAGTACTGATTTTGCCCCAGATCCCTAAGTGGCCCTCTCAAGGATTGAACTCACAACCCTAGGTTTAGCAAGACAGTGCTCAAACCACTGAGCTATCCCTCAGCTTTTCCATATACCTACGGGGACAGACACCAGATACCAGTGACAGCCCCTGTGAAACACTTTACATAGAGGTCACCTGAAAATACACAGAGGAGACCAAATATTACTTACCCCAGTATCTGTAATTTGCAGTTTGGCTGTTTCAGTCCCTCACACAGCAGCTGAATTCCAACATCTCCCAGAGAAAAATTATAACTGAGATTCAGCTCTGTCAGGCTCTGGCTGGTGCTGAGAACAGTGGCGAGATCCCTACAGCAAGCGCCTGTGAGACCGCAAAATCTCAACCTGCAGGAGAGACAAATGCAGGGCAGATCCATCAGAGAGCGAATGAGGCTCATCATAGGTGTTCGACAGGTGGCCCCACCCAACATCTCCTTTCCCTGACCAATCAGCATCAGGAATGAGCCAGAAATCCAGCCCTAGACTCTGTCCCAAGACCCATCCCTTGACCAATGAGAACCCCGAACCAGGTTTGGGTGTGACTTCCTGCATTAGCCCCACTGCTTGCACTATAGAGAAAGAGAGAAAGTGAAGTTTCAAGGAAGGCTTTAGGAAAGGATTAGGAGGAGGAAAATGGGGAAGATGGATGGAGAAGTTTGGAGGGTGGAAAATATCAGAAGAGAGAAGTTAATTGGAGAGTAAAAACAGACACTACAAAACAATGAGGAAAAAAGAGTCAGAGAGAAAAGGAGAGAAGAAAACATTCAAGCAGAGAAAAACTAAAAATAGTAAAGGGAAGACCTAGTGATACTCTGTTACATTATTTTATATCAAGTTTGATCCCAAAACGTTGCAATAAAATACACTCATGGCATGTGGCCAACCCCAAAAGTTCCAAAATTATGAGTCAGACTCCAAAAAGTCACAATATCAGCTTAGAATTCAGGGGATTTTTTTTACAAATACATTTTGGGTTCTTTTTCTTTGTCTTCTGTTTTTTGAGACTTTAGGGTTTGTGTTTTCAGGCTTTCTCTGTAACCACAAGGGCTAGAAACTTCGCTTTCATTTTTAAAAAGTGAGGGGCTCACTTATTCACATGACTCCAGAAGCTGTGACTTTAAGAAAAGCCATCAAATATCAAAATTTGTGATAAAATCATGAGATGGCAACAATGTTATATATCAGACACCATGACTCCATAGGACTATGGGGTCTCTGTAGCCTAGTTAGGAATGGTAGGTGGGCTTGGGAGTCCATTTGTCCAGAGATTAGAGGAGGGAATAACCTGATTTTTGTTTATCTCAAAATCTTTACTGTAAAATAATGGGTTTTCAGTCCTCCTTTAATTGCAAATCTGAATGCAAACTTAATTATAGAATTGCTAGCACTCCCTCCACAAGTTTTTCCCCAGTGTTGGTGTTGGGTTTTAGAATATTTCATGCTTGCATCTATCTGAAATAATCATATATATTTTGGGGGTCCTGTGGTTTTGATGCACATCTGTTTTCGCAGTACATTACCTGATGTACTAGCAAGTTATCCTAGCACAGAAGTCCAGATGAACACCCGCTGTGCTTGTATTATTGATTATTTTATTACATTATTTTTATTGCACAGCATTCTGACTTCGAAACATATGAAAAGCTTCTAAAATACAGGAAATTGCACCTAACTTTTCAAAAATGTCTGGGTGGCCATGGCTAGTTCATGCCACTGCTCACTGCTGCCCATGCTACCATGGCTACGCTACTATTTTTACTAGCATGAATGTGTGTACATGAGCTGGGAATCACACACTCCCAGCTCCAACTGCAGATATAGCCTAAGGCTTCTAGGGCAGAGAGCTACTTATCAATGGATAGACACTAGGGATAGTGATGAGGGGTCCAAGCACAGTATCTGATTTGGGGAACTGTGTCCGGGAAATTCAGGAAGCTGACTACCCAGGGCCTGGAGCTACCCAAGCAAAAATGCAAAAGCCATGAAGAGCTGTGGGGAGGCGAACTCCTGCCATCCGCCCCATGGATACATACTTGGAACAGCTAGCCCATGCTGCTGCTCACACTGCCTTAGCTACATCACTATATTTAGCACGCTGGGTCAATGAGAGCTAGTGCGAGTGTGTCTAGTCACTCTGGGAATCACACCCCCAGCTCCGAGTGCAGACGTAGCCTTCGTGTGGGCAAAAGACTGTGGGAGTGTCTCATGGATATGAGACTTTTCCACTCCAATCCAAGGTTTACATGCAAGACACACAAGAAATACAAGTCAGCCTCTGGAAAGCATTACTCTAGGCACCAGCCACCAATCCAGTGCAAATGAGTTTCAGCCACGGCACACAAAATTACTACAGACACAGGCACACCTCAGGATCAAAGCTTGTGTTGAACAAAGCAAGGTTAGTGGCTTAAAAGCCCTTTATCAGCTTGAATTAGATCCCTGACCTGGTCTGCATCCCCAGAGCCTGGCTATCTGACACTGCAGGCTGGGAGCTGGATCATTTAATCCTTCCAGCTGACACAGGGCCCTACAGACCCAGACTAGGCAGTTCCCGTGGCAGAGAGCCAATTTTATTGCTATCCAGCTTCAAAAGAAACTCCTTTGTAACAAAATCCCTTGAGTGCATCTACTTAATCTGAGAGACCAATGACAAGCCCAATAAGACATCCCAATAGCACAGATCTATTACCTACAGAGAGCTCAAGTTTTCTGGAGGAGCTGACAGAGACACTGGCTGACATGGTGATGCAGTTCCTGAGGCTCATCATTCTTGGAGGCTTAAATATTCACACGGACAATACACCTAATTCAATGCACAAAACTTTCTATTTGCCCTGTTCTCCTTTGGATTCTCACAGGCAGTCTCTAGGCCTTAAACACACACACAGCTGGTCACATCCTGACCTTTATAATGAACGTGGATCACTCCCCGATGCCAGTCAGATTACCACCTTCAAAAGAGAAAGAACATAAGAACGGCCATACTGGGTCAGAGCAAAAGTCCATCTAGCTCAGTATCCTGTCTTGTGACAGGTGCCCCAGAGGGAATGAACAGAACAGGTAATCATCAAGTGCTCCATCCCCTGTCGCCCATTCCCAGCTTCTGGCCAACAGAGGCTAGGGACACCATCCCTGCCCATCCTGGCTAATAGCCATTGGTGGACCTGTTCTCCATGAATTTATCTAGTTCTTTTTTGAACCCTGTTATAGTCTTGGTCTTCACAACATCCTCTGGCAAGGAGTTCCACAAGTTGACTGTGCGTTGTGTGAAAAAAATACTTCCTTGTGTTTGTTTTAAAGCTGCTGCCTATTAATTAATTAATTTCCAGGCAAGAAGGTCTTAACATCATGGTCCATCCTAGAGAGCTCATTGATCCAGTTAGACCCACGAAGTACTGATACCCTAGCCCAGCAATCAAGGACTAGAAGAACCAGTGAGACATCACAGTCACTGACTGACCACAGCCATGAATACTTTGGTTCTGAAGCACTTCCTTCCCATTTGGCCTTCACAGAGCTTTGTGGTTTCTTCTTCCTGTGACAGATGATGCAAGGAGGCAAGAAAACCCAAGTGTCAGTGTTGAGAACACTCAAGAAAAAAACAAATTCTTTTTGCCTGCTCCTTGGCCATGGAGGAGACCAAGAGATCCTCCTCCTCCTCTTCCATAGCAACCACCAAGGCTACATCAATGCAGTTGGACTATGGAGGTGTGAATTGCAACAGCACAGCATTCTGGTGCATGCAGCTCCCCAATGTGGACAGTCCTAGTGCAAACTAAGAGATACCTAGCTTGTGTTAACATAGTCCTCTTCAAACAGGACTATGTTAGCGTGAACTAGGTACCTTTTTGTTCGTACCTGCATTGTCTATCTAGGGGGGTTACAACACAGCACTTTGGTGCATGCTGCACTTCACACCCCTGTAGTCTGAACTGCAGGGCTGGGTAGACAAGCCCCAAGTCACACCCCACAGAACTATTCTGGATTGTCAATAACATTGCTAACCTAGATGTCTCCTAGCTCCAGAGTCCAGCACCACTCAAAAGCAGGGCCATCCCTGGGGGGCTGCAGAGCCCGGGGTGGATGTGATGAATCCATTACTTCCGGGACCGACCCGTCACTTCTGGGAGCGACCGCGCTGGCCAATTGCTCTGGCCTGCAGGGCCTCCCAAAGTGCGGGGCCCAGAGTGGCCACCCCGATTCTTCGTACCCTAGGAATGACTGAGCAAGAGCATCTAGAACCCCTACTAACAAATACTGTCATCGTCTGCTTTTGAGGATAGAAATCTGCTCCCCCAACCTGGAGCATGCAGTAACCTGGCCAGGTCTTAAGAATCCATTGCTTGATACAACCAGCCTTACAAGCGAATGCCCGGTATCATCAGGTCTCCTGTTTCTGAGCAATCTAGTCAAGCAGCTACTGAACAGCTGCATCCAACTTCACCTGTCCATTGGCAATATCCAGCTGGGTTTTAAGCCTAGACACAGAACAGACATGGCACTGCCAAAGCTGTGGAGAACCTCCTCCTGTCCACAGGCAAGAGGATTTTTGAAGCTTTTACTGTCAGCGTTTGCAGAATGGTGACAAATCCTCCTCTTGTTGGAGTCAACAGTAAAACTTGGAGATGGGGTGGGGGAGCACCTTAGTATTGGGATGTTGTATGCAGCAAAAACTACTTTCATCCAGCTGAACAATGATGGAAGGACATGGGATGGAGAACTGAGAAGATTCAATGGCACCCCCCCTCCAAGGGGGGATGTGAGGAAGTAAAAATCAACAGGGAGGTCACAAGCCTGGATGGTGGGGGAGGGTCAGGGACAGAGGGAGGAGCAGGAGGGGATCAAGGCAGCAGGAACTGACTTAAATGAATCTTATATTATTTTTTCTCCAGTTTGCTCAAGGGGGTGGGAGGTGAATTCCCTCAGCTCTGTAAGTGCTTTGAGATCCTCAGCTAGACGGTGCTCTAGGAGGGCATGTCATTCGGCTTCAGGGATAGAGACTGTTCCTGTCCCTCCCACCACCTACCCTACAGACCGGGGAGAGGGATGAGAAGCGGACGCGGGGGTGATTGGACATGAGGAGAAATTGTTCACAGAGGGATCAGAGTTGTCCTAGATTGCAAGTGGTGATTTTCCTTCACTGAAAGGGTCCTCATGGGTAGTGCCTCCTTCTTGCTCTCACATGCTTAGGGGTGGGGAGAAAGTATCCCCAACTGAGGCATTAATAGGAGAGACTCAGCTTTTAACCTCACCACGTACTGCAGGAAGTTGATCATACCCCATCACACCTCCTGCCAAGGTCTGTACATAAAGGAAACTGGTCAATACTTACACTAGTCTCTGCAGTTTGCAGTTTGGCTGTTTCAGTCCTTCACACAGCAGCTGTATTCCCATGGCTCCCAGTTGATTATCACTCAGGTCCAGATCTGTCAGCAACTGGTTGTTGCTGAGAGCAGAAGAGAGCTCCCCACAACAAGCAGCTGAGAGTTTACAAGCCTTCAAGCTGAAAGAGATAGATACCCAGATTAGAGAATGAGCACGTCTGTCTATCCAGTCCTCTCGTCTCAATACAAATTCCAGCGTGGAAAGCCAAGAAGCATTTACCATAGTCCCCATGACCCTTAATCTAAGGATTTGCAACATATCAATAAACAAATGAATAGAGGCTGGTATGAAAAATGAAGAATAAGGGAATTATATAGGAAGCCAGTTGTAAATTAGAGTTTCTCTTTCTTGTAGACGAAAAGTCTCAGTGCTTTAGAAAGAAATATCACCCAGATCAAAGAGACTATGACCAAAATAGACAAACTGAAGATATATTAGGTATCAGAGGGGTAGCCGTGTTAGTCTGAATCTGTAAAAAGCAACAGAGGGTCCTGTGGCACCTTTAAGACTAACAGAAGTATTGGAGCATAAGCTTTCGTGGGTGATGAAGTGGGCATTCACCCACGAAAGCTTATGCTCCAATACTTCCTTAAAGGTGCCACAGGACCCTCTGAAGATATATTGTCCTCTTGTATCAATCTAGCTGCATTTACACCAGGGGTTGAATTTTTAATTTATTTTAATTTTAATTGACTTTTCCACACCTCTGTGTCACGTAGCTATGTTGACCTAAATTTTAAGTGTAGATCAGGCCTTAAACATGATGGCTAGATACTGAGGGCTTGTCTATACAAGGGCATTGACCAGAATAGCTCCCTGTGTGGACATACTATTCCAGAATCAAAATCACTTTTCCTTTAGAACAATTACTTTGCTTTCCCAGCTATTGGGATTCTCATCTGTTGCAAGCTGCAGAGTTGTCCATTAGCAGCCTGGGGATCTCAGAGCTGCTCTAGTTTACACTAGGGAACCATTCCAATACCTGGAGCAGCCCTGAATCTGGGAGGCATAAAGATGGTTTAAATCCACTTAGCTCCACCCTCCCTCTGGAATGTGAGATCTTTGCTGCGCCTCTTAGAAGCTCAGCAATGAATCTTAACCTTGGTGTTGGCAGCAGTGGGATTGTAAAAGAGAAGTTTACACTGGGGTCCTTCTATGGGCATCTATTATGTCCATTAGCCTGTGTTCCACAGGTGTGTGTTCAGCTAAGCTGAAGGTGAGGGTAGAGCGTGGCTGCATTTTCAGTGGGGTGGTGAATCCTGAAATGCATCTGTGAAACCGTTCAAAATTTTTTCTCGCTGAGCGTGGAGGGGCCATGGGAAGTGCCTTGCCTCTATTTGCCAGAAGCTGGGAATGGGCGACAGGGAATAAATCACTTGATGACCTGTTCTGTTCATTTCCTCTGAAGCACCAGGCATTGGCCACTGTCGGAAGACAGGATACTGGGCTAGATGGACCTTTGGCCTGACCCAGTATTGCCGTTCTTATGTTCTTATGTGGTGTGGCTGTGAGGAACCCCAAATGTGGGCCTAGTGTATGAGGAAGGGGCTCTACACATCCATCAGCAGCATAGTAGGCTCAGAGAGGTGTGAAATGGCCCATTCATCTCAATGGGACATTCTCAGCTGAATGAGAACACCGCATGGAGATGAAAACAGCCTGAAACAATAGCTCCGAGAGGTGTGAACTGCTCCATTCATCTCAGTGGGAGTTCTTATCCCCCCACTCCGTCAGGTATTTAGTATTCTGGTTTACACATGGGAGGCAGGAAGCTGGGCTCAGATCCCCCAGAAGTTTCAAACGTAAGTAATGTAGGCTGGATCTGACCTACAGGCTGTTTTAGTGTCCCACAGACATAAGGAAATTTCTGGCCCTCGTGGCAGCAGAGATCACCAATGTGAGCCAAATTTGTACCTGATGCAGTGAAGTCAGCCTGAATTTGCAGAGAGTCTGAAACAATGACTCAGGAGTGGGGACTCTCCTGTCCCCCAGTAATCTGACAGCATTATCAACTTTATTGCTCACCAGTGAGATTTCAGTGCCAACATCAACTACTGAATCACTGATCATTGTAGTGGGTGGAATGAGGGGATTAGGGGATGGGAACAAAGCCTGCTGGGTTGGGAACTGGAAGTTGCTGCAGGGAAGGAAATGCAGAGAACACACAGGAGACAGCAGAAGAGAAAGCAGAGAGGGGAGGATGGAGAAGGAAGAGAAACCAAAGGCAGAAAAGCAGCGGGCTTAAAGGTGAGCAGATTTTTCCACTGATAATGAATGCAATACTAAAGCATTACACAAACAATAAATAGTAACAAAACATTTAGTTACTACATAAAGGCCATAGCCTCCCCTTGATCTCTGACATGAGGGGGGCATTCCACTGCGCATCATGGAGAGAATATAGTATTTATAGCCTGACCTAAGGACCATAGTATCAGAGGGGTAGCCGTGTTAGTCTGAATCTATAAAAAGCAACAGAAGGTCCTGTGGCACCTTTGAGACTAACAGAAGTATAGGGAGCATAAGCTTTCGTGGGTAAGAACCTCACTTCTTCAGATGTAAGAAGTGAGGGTCTTAACCAAGAAAGCCTATGCTCACTCTACTTTTGTTTG